TTGCAAAGTGCATCAGCTAATACTTTTCCTGCTTCAGATTCAAGTTCATTACTATTGAGATTTAACGTTGTTAAGGAAGTGTTCTTGCGAAGTACATCAGCTAATGCTTTTCCACCTTCGGATCCAAGATAATTTTTATCGAGATTTAACGTTGTTAAGGAGGTGTTCTTTCAAAGTGCAATAGCTAATGCTTTTTCTCCTTCAGGTCTAAGATTATTATAAGAAATATCTAAAGAGGTTAAGATAGAGTTCTTACAAAGTATCTTTGTTAGCTTGTTTAAATATTTCAATTCACATTTATTCCAAGTTAGATCTCAAGTTAAAGCGCTTTTTTGATTATCAGAACTATGATGGCTATTTTCAAGTATTTTCTCAAAAAATTCTAATACTTTGAGAAATTTGTGTTGGTTGAAACATTCTCGTACCTCTTTTCTCAAATTTTCAAGAAAACTACTATTCTGCTTTAAAATATTCAAATTTATCATATCAGATAAACAAACCGAAAATGAAGTCGTAATTTCAAGTGAATTTTTGAATATGTTTATATTAACTTAATTGAAGAAATTTCACTATTTTAAGATGATGTTTTAATAGGATCGTGTTGACTCAAAGTTTCAATAGAAATAAGTTGCTTTAAAGTATTAAGAATTAATTTTGTTTTTGGATGATTGGCAGGATCATTGTCTCAACATTTTGGTAAAGTCAATATATTGAGATGGTGTATCTTCTATAGGCTTTTCTCTATTTCCTTGATATACATAAAAACAGAGTTCTATCTTGGATTCGAAGGTTTGAAATGGAGGTCTACTGCTTGAAATTTTCAAGAGGATTATCCTAAGACTATAAACATCTGATCTCTTATTATGCTTATATCCTTGTTTAATAAGACATTGAGGTTTGATATATGCCGGCATTTTATAAACAATTGAGTTTGAAGTCTTAGACATTTCATTCATCTGCTTTTATAGTCCAAAATTTGTAATCTTTAGTTGTCTTTGATGGATTAAGGTTTTTCGAATGCTAAATTATCATAATATAATGATTAAAGTATATATTAGTAAAATATTTATTAGTAAATTAATAACAAATAACTAATAAATATAAAATCTATTAAATATAACATAGTACTTATTAAATCTCTATGAATAATATTCTTATTGCTATTTCCTTAGCAATCGATAGTTTATCTGTCCATTGAAATTTCGTTGAATTTTTTATTAGGTATTCTCATAAGGTTCTATCGTTAACATATTGTAAGACAATATTAATCTATTGATATCTATATTCGATTTGATGGGTAATTTTTCATTATTTGAAATATTGATAACTTCAAAAATTAAATTACTTGTATACCTTTTATGACTCCATAGAAAGTAATAACGATTAGGTGGTAATAAACTTTTCATAATAGTTTAAGCTAATACTGTATAATGAAATATAAACTTTATTATTCTATTCAGTAGTAGAATACCAGTAAAATTTAATATAACAAATAATACCTCATTAATAAAATCTTTAATAATTCTTTCATCGATGCTTGTATTATCTTTAAGACATTTAAGAGCAATAGTTAATTTGTTGTTTCTCCACTCGTATTTAAGAACCTTTCTATCTCTAACACCAATCAAAATAAGGTCTATAAAGTTATTAGATTTGATATAATTAATATGCCTATCAGAAATAGCTTTTTCAGGCTATTCTTCTAATATGTTTGGCATAACTTTTTTTGTTTCTACTGTATAAGTTTTAGCCAAAAAACAACATTTAATGCATTAATGATTAGCTTATTTATATTGCCAATTGGTCAATAATTTGTAATCAGCTAAAATACTATTTAATAAAAATTGTTTAGCCAGTAATTTGCTGATTGTAGTTTATTTGTCTAATCAGCATTCAAATTAATAAATTAGCTTAAATAGGCACTTCCAATTGAAGTCTATTTTAGGCTGATTTGCACCAAAATCTAGAAGAAATCGGCAAATGATAATATTGTCCAATATCTTCAAATCAGTATCCTATCAGATTCAAATCAGGATGCTTATTAATATTTATTGATATCTATTATCTATTTGTTAATTTATCTAAAATCAGTAAACATACTGATTTGCTATTTTTCTACCTGTGGTATCTTTATTATTTAACTCTTGACTTGCTTTAATTTGTAATTCTAATTGATTTATTCTATTAATTAATTTTGCAAAATCATCTTTATTTAAAATAACTTAATCATCAAAAGTATTAATTGTAATATTTTTTCATTCATCTTCAATAGTTTCAGAAATTGTAAAAACTTCAAAAATTTTCTTATCTTCAAAATCTACTGATTTTTTTTTATATCTATCAGGTTCTACAATTTTTAAATAATAAGCATCACACAATTGATTATCTTTTTTTTTTTTTTTTCCTTTTGATAACTGCATACTAAAATTTTATTAAATATATTATGCTTAATACAAGACCAAGCTATTTAACAAGGTAATTAGACTAAAAGCCAGCTGTCTTTTAGAGATACCCAACCTTGATTATTGTACTGATGTTGGCCACTATACCTCACATATGGTGCACTATATTTAAAGATATAGTTTAGCCAGGGCTTAGCTCCCACTTCAGGATCTCTTTTCCCTTTTAATTCTTTCTTCTTTTCAAGAGACACAAGACAAAAGAGAAAAAAGTTTAAAACAAAAAATAAATATAAAAAAGATCAAAAAAGAAAAACAAACAAAAAGAAAAAATAAACACAGATTCTGAAAAAGAAAAAACATAAAAAGAAAACTAAAACTCTAAAGGCACTATTATAACCCATGCAAGGTTGGTAAAAATTATATAACAAATGCAACGTTTGTATATCTCTCTTGTAAAGGTAAAGCTCCATCTTAATATTAAAGTTTACTTTCCAACCTTCCTATTGACTTCGAATAGCTCCGTTGTCCAAGGCCCCATATCAAAGCTACCTTCTGCCATAATTGAAGTATCCAGGCTGAGTTCTATGCAGTAGCACTATATCCATCTATAAACAAACACATGGTTGCAATCTACTAGTCCATCCGAATTTGGGAAGTAAACAATGCTGATCTTTTGGAGACAATTGATTATCTATTTCTAAATAATTATAATCATCAAATATATTTTTTTCTTTTGATTTTTGAAGTGCATTTTCTGTAAATTTATAATACCGATTTGCATTATAATTACAATCTATAACTTTGCAAGGACCTTTATTTTGTTCTTATGGCATTTTAAAAATTTAAAAATTTTTGATTCATGAAGTAAAAAATTTATTCTTTATATATTTAAAAATGTTACTCAAAATAATTAATTAATTATTTATTTTTATTTATACATTTACATATTTAATCATTTGTATACCTACAAATATATTTATACTTTAAATATTTATATACCTACACTTTAATATTCATACATCTATCTATCTTCTATATCATATATATTACATACATTTATTCAATACCCACATATTTAAGTACACCCACATATTTAATTATTCATATATCTATATCTTCGCACACCCCATATTCTATTATTTGAAACCCTTCTTTATTCATACACCTATACACATCTAATTATATTCTATTAATTATTTGCCTCATATTCAATAAACAAGACAAATACACACAATGCTATACACTCAATTATTTGCACACCTACATACTTAATTGTTGTGTACTCACAAAGGTTACTTGTATGCTCAAACATATTTGATATTTATATGATTATTTGAATGCCATGTATTAATTTCTTCATCTATACCTAAATACATTTAGTATTCTAGTTAATAGTATTATTACAGTGTTAGATCCATGAAACATCTTAAAATGAAGATAATTTGTAATACCGGGTATATAGGTCAAGATCTCTAGTTTTTTTTACTAGAATGACTTTCTTTACATATATTTATTTAGACACCACATCTTTCTCATGTTAAAATCAGTGCTACAGTATTTGTTCTCAATGTAATTTAGTTTAGATTATCAATAAAAAAAAAATTGTTAATGCTAAAAAAAAGGATTGAGATACAAAAAAAAATTACCAACTAGATTAACCAATCAGAGATGTGTCAAAACATCTAACCCAAAACATGATCTGAGGTATGATCCGAGGTATGAACAAATTAACCAATCAAAACAAACTTCCACTATGCTATTCGGAGTGAAAAATTTTTTTTTGAGTGGATAGCAGTGCATCTCAGCTCATCACTCAATTCTCTGAGCACTAAGAATAAGCGCACTCTGAGATAAATTGCACAATCATTTTTCTTTGTTTAATGAAAATTTCCTCATATAGAAAAACACTATTTCCTATTTTAAACTTGATCTGCATCAAACTAATACATATAAAGTTACATGTTGCTTTTAAAGGAAAATAGTTATAGCACAAAACTCAAATGAATAACTAATTATAAGCTCCAGTATTTGTTAATCAGTGAATTGTGATTGGTTATATATCACTTGCCACGAACGGCAACCTGATTTTTTCACTTTTCATAAACATATAGCGTCCTCCGCTTCTTTTTTTTTTATTTCATATAATTTTTTAAAAAATATATATGCAAATAAATTTATAACATGTACCAAATAGCATAGGTGTTACATTATTGATTATATAGCATGAATTATCTGTTATATATTTAATATAAAATCAGAGATAGATTATTTATGTTTCTATAAATTATGACTATTCGAGTTAGTTCATAAATAAATTAAAACAGAATATACACACTTATCAATGGTAAAATATTAGTGTTTATTCTGAAATTAAATTCATTATAGTTTTAATTTTGTTTCGATTTCATATTTTCTATTCTTTTAAAACTTATCATTTTATTGGCTAATTATCATGTGAAAATACATGAACGATACTTTTATGTAAATATATATATATATAGTAGAATAATATCTATACTATAGTGTAATTTTGCAAAAAAATGCCATAAGCCCCCTTTTAGTTGACCGCACCCATATAATATAATATACCAAATTAAATTATTTCATTATTAAAGAATAAAGTGAAGTATTATATATAACAATTACAAGCAAAATTAATATCACGAGCAACATTAATACTAAAATTACTGTTATTGATATTTTTTTTGATAGTTCTTCATCAGGTTCCTCTCTAGCGCCCATGCTCTGAGCCCTGGAAGCATAACTACCTTTTTTAATTCCACCAGATTCATATCCGAGACAGTGAACACATGGAACAATGAAACATTTAACGCATGGAACAATGAAGCAATAATAAATGAGGAGAAAAATAGCAACAACAACTATAGAAATTATTAATATCTTTTTAATATCAAAATTGTTAATTTCAGAAAATTGAATTTTAGGCAATTGAGTGTCGAGAGATTCAATTTCACGCATTTTAACATTGGAATATTCTGTGTCGATCGAATGGACGTCTGAAGATTTTTCATTAACTTTGTCACGTTTGGTAGTGTTAGGGGCCTGGCTGGATGACGGATCCAACTATCACCGCCAAACTAACACAACAAAGACAACAAACCACACAGTATACTCGATATGTAGAGGCAGTTAATAGGGTATATTGTAACAAAATGACTGATTTTCAATTTTATGCAAGCACGCTTCTTTATTAAAGGTGAAAAAACCTATTTTATAACGAAATTTTACATGCGGGGGAGAACAAGATCGAACTTTTCTAATCTAAGCCCATCGCCATTTTCGCTCATAACACGGCCACAAGTCCGACCGGTTTGCCTCGAATTATTTGTTTACTCTCAAAATCAGTACTTCTCTTTTCAGCTTTTGTTTCCCAAAAAGATGGTCTTTCCATGGGCTTATTTCTTACGCCTCATCTTTATTCTTTTGTACCGTGGTCCTGGGGCTTTTTGGGGAACTTTCCTTCGCGGCTTCGATTCGGGTCTTGGTCACGTTTTAGGTCTCGTGACGGCGAATTTTCTGCAATGGGTTCAGGTGGTCTTGCCTAGTGCAACAGCAGGGACAGTGCCCACTATGTAGAATGTAGTTTAACGTTACACAACTTATAAAAATCTTTTTTTATATTATTTTAAAGTACTTCGAATATCTTGTATTACTCATTTGTGTAATA